TTTATTTTTATAAAATTTCCACAATAGGCATTACTTTTTGTAACAGAAGAAAAAAAATTTCTCATGGCAGGCTAAACTATCATACTGTAATTATTTGACCTAAGATACACATCCACAGCAACATTTTCTTTAGACACACGCAGTGTAACTAGCCTGTCATAAATTATCACATAAAACTAAGTCTAATCAATTTTAAAAAGTAAATCATTCTTCTAAATGTAGACTTTCTAACCGACAAAAATTTATGAAACTTTGCAAATGCCTGTAATGCTTATGTCAAATCTCTTCTTATCTATTTTGTTTCAAAAAAGTAATACAACAACCACCTTTCCTAGCCACTGAGTTAGGAAAAATAACAGGCCCCGGCCTAGCAGTTCAGTTGGTTAGAGTGTCATCCCAATATACCAAGGTTGCAGGTTCAATCCCCAGTCAGGGCACACCCAAGATTCAACCAATGAATGCATAAATAAGTGGAACAACAAATCAATGTCTGTCTGTCTGTGTCTGTCTCTCTCTATCCCCCCTCTCCACTCCGCTCCATCCTTTCCCCTTTGTCTCTCTCAAAAATCAATAAATTAAAAAAAAAGAAAAAGAATAAATCTGGAATTACTAAATATTTTCATGAAGTCAGCCACAGATACTGCATGCGGCACAGAACAATGACTGAATGATATTATCTTTGGGTATTTTTCGTACAAAATAATAGATATCTGATGAGCACTGCTGCATGCTAGGACCTATACTAGGTCCTAAAGACATAAAATCCTAACACAGATATCCTATATTCCAGTTCTTCGCCTATCTAGTCAAAAAACATACACTATGATGAATATAACTACAAAATATATATACAGACTCCTACCCCTTATAGCCAATTCCAAAAATCCAAAGAACTCTGAAAACTAAAAATTGTTTTCTAAGTTGTCAATAAAACATGGCCTACCTTTTTATAGTCTTTCTTTATTCTTCTTAATGTGAATATGTATAATTTTACTGGGAAAATTAATGTGAATGATTATGGGCTGATTACTCCAATGCACAGGAGGTTTCATGATATATAGCACATATGCCATATTAGTTTTCTAAATTCCAAAAGCTTTTCCCTTCAGAGATACATATGCTACCATGGATTTCAGAGACAGGGCTATAGACCAGGTCTAGAAAATGGAAAGCTGGATTATTTTAAGAAGCAAAGGAGTCAGTTGAGCAAGGTATAAATTATATAGTCAGAGAAACAGTCAGGAAAAAAAGGTTATCTTATTCTCGGCACCAAAATACAACACTTGAAAATTTTTAAACTAATCCTTTCATACATCCACTAAAGACAACTTTTAGTATTTCTATAGTCTTACTTCCTTGTCTTGAAAGATCTGAGCTGATATACCATATTTAATAATAATTCTCCAAACAGACAAAAGCATTACTATACCAATTTTGTATTTTCATTCACAAAATACAGCCTTATACCAAATAAATGTACACTTTCCATTAGGTTCACTCAAATATAGTCAGTCTTGATTATGTGGATATAATCAGCCACACTGCAGATTATCCATAGAACATCCATGGCAGATTAACTATGTGATAGACACTAATCATTTTATATTTGTATGTTATACATATGTGTACATACGTATATATGCATGTATATACATAAATGTATTCTCATTTAATACTCGAAACAACTTTCTGAGATAGTTACTATCTTCATTTTAAAAAAAGAAAAGTGTAGCGTGAGGATAAGTAACTGGCCAGCATGACATTATAACAGACATCACAATAACAGAGTATAAGATTTGAGAAAACATTTACAACAGGGATTTGTTGTCATACCGACTTCCTTCCCAAACTCACTATTATCGTAGTTAATAGAGAATTAATGCTTCTGGAACCAACCTACAGGCCCTGGCCACCCCAATACTCTCCCTCCCCCACAACTTTCCCCTCCTACAACTAGACCCAGTTTCAAACTCTCATTTCTCCAGTTCTAGTACGCACTTTATATTCCTGCTATTATTTGTCCATGTTAAGAGATGTCTTAGACCAGTTGTAAAAGCACCATTCCTCAGACTGGTGCTCATATAAAACAAAGCTTTCTATGGTCCAACACTAAAAGAGGGTGGGGGTTAATATGTTTACAAAACACAAATTATTCAACTTAAAATATCATCCTTTATTCTGAGGTTGTTGTTATTACTTTTTCAGTATGAAAAAAATGATAATGACCAATGCTCAGTTTTTACATTGTCCTTACTGGCAAAAATAAAAAGTTGGTAACCCAGTCAATCTCTCCCCAAAAACTGTGACGATAATTAAAACAGAATAAATCTACCAGGTTTGCATGAGGAGGTAGAGTTCAGGCATAGGCAGGAAATACAGGTCTGAAAACTTGCAGGGTCAAACAGAAACAGATAATACTTTTACATTTAATAGTGACATACAAACTTAAGAGACTGGTCTAGCAAGCAAGTACAAACAAAATAAATCTTTGCAAATTTCAGTATTTTATTCAGAAACGATTACAAACATTGAAGAACTAACACTAGTTCATTTCTAAAAGGGAGAGGAGAAATTTTAAAAAGGATGACAGTTTTGATTTTAAAATGAAAGAGAAGCTCATAATTCTCAACAACAGGAAAGGAGGTGTAAAAGAGTATCATTAATTTACCTTCTAAAAAGGCAGCAGAGAATTGTTGAAAGCATGGGCTCGTGAGTCAGCCAGCCAGATTCCTAGCTGCGTAAGGCTGAGCATGTGACTTTTCCCCTCTCTGTTTCAGTTTCCTTAAAAGTTGTTGAGAGCATTAAATGAGTTAAGATTAGTAAGTGCTTAGAACAGTGCCTGGCACTTAGTAACTACTTCAAAAATATTGTCATAAATATTATTTAATAATATAAAGAAGCAATGGTAAAGTAAAAACTAATAACTATAAAACTTAGAGTACTAAAAAATAGTTGATGTTATACTTCCATAAAGTTGTTTTAGAGTTAAGTACAACCATTTTTATGTACATAAAGTATTTGAAGTTTTGCATGACACTTTTAAATTTTTCAGTTTATGATTGATTTTATTATATTAGGAAAAAATCTGAATCCAGTTAGCACAACCTCAACAGAGGGAGACCCTTCACTGTTTGAAAGTTTGCTTCCAAGACTCAGGATGGCAATTCTCAATGAGGTTGCGTTTGAAAAAGAGCACACACTCAATACTTCCACAAATTAGGGAAACTCATCCCAGCAGTGCATTCAGAAACACCTGTTGATAAAATTCAACTACCTATAGCTGAGCAATTCCTTCAGCTGAAAGTACAGCAAGATCCATGGAAAAGTCGCAGACCAGTTGATACAGGTGCCACACAGCATATACACCTGGTGCCTGCACTCTTCCTGATTGGGGCAGCTCCTCCAGTTCTGCTGCAGGACCCAAACTTGGCCTGCTCACTCTTCATAAGGGATCTCCCTAAGGGAAGCCTTCAAAGTTCATTATGCTATTTACCCTTTCTCTCAAGCCACCTCTACACCCAGCATGAATTATTAAAAGGCGCTTGTTCACTGACACGTTTTACTTATCACACAAGTTGTCTACATCCTTGCTATTCAAGGATGGTTCCTTGTCCAGGAGCACCTAGAAACATACGAAGTGAATCACGGATTTGCTGAATCAGAACTGGCATTTTTACACACAGAGTCCCGAGAATTCCTATGCACATTCAAGTTTGAGAAGCAATGTTCTATACGACTGCTGCAGATACCTGCATAATTTTAAAATGTTCAATTTTCCATTTAAATTGAGACATATACTCTCAAACTTAGCAAAATGTGGAATCAGAAAATCTCTTTGAGAAAATAACGAACACAGAATTTATTTACCAGTGACATCAATCGCAAATGTTCAAAAGATTTATACTATATCCAACAATGCCTGCAGTTAAATGCTTCCTGCTTTGAGTCACTATTTTGTGCAACGGCACAAAACTAATAATACGAAATTTTATTTAGACTACATTTTATTGTCCAAAGAGTACAGAAGAATGACTGGGTCTAGAAATTTCAAAGCAATCCTGTCCAAAGGTATGCAAACTGTGTGCTAAATTTCGGGATTCGGTTCAACTTAAAGTTGACAAATGAAATTTTTTCCTGAAAGTCATTCAGAAAAAAAAATCTGAAGGAGGTAAACTTTAGGCATACATCATATTCCTGGAACCTGAACTGTTTAATACTAGCATTGAAAAAGTCATTTGTCGAACCGAAAATTTATTTTTGAGGTTTGTGTTCATTTTTCCAGGAAAAGGCGGGGGGAATAACTTTCACCCTCAGCGAAGTTTTTCTTGCATCCTGAAAGGCCTCTCAGCTTGCACGTTCTTACAAATGAATAACCAAAAGTCGTTCTAAAACAAGGTCACGTTGGCTGCCTTAAAGGTGAAAGGATTCTCTCTCTTCTAAAGTTGCATTTTAAGAGATTTGGGATTGCCTGCCAGTTTCGCTTCCGGCTTGCGAAGGAAGCGTGCTACCCAGCGCCGAAACGAACAGGGAAATTTACCAAGTAGGAAGTTGAGCCTTTATCCGGCCACCGGGCTCTGCCCTCTGGCTGCACCTGGTCTTGCAGCCCAGACCCCAATCTCCCGAGGAGGGCAAGGCAGGCAGACTGAGGAAGGCAGTCTCCACGCCCTCCCGCTCTGGAGCCGGGGAGCCTCCCTGCCGCCACCCAACCCGCACGCCGACCCGGGAAACGCACACGCACGGGGCGGTGCGACTACCCGTTGGCGGCGGCAGCGGCGGCAGCAGCGGCAGCACCCGCACCCTCAGGCCTTCCCTTGAGGAGGCGGCAGCTACAGCAGCAACGAGACGGGAGGCGGCACTCGGGACTCCTCCTAAGAGGCAGAGGGGGAAGCCGGGGCGGGAGTCATTGCATGTGGGGGATGCACTGGAGGAAGGCAGAGGCGCTCAGAGGGCTCAGCTTTTTTATGATCATCATCATCATCATCATCATTATTTTATTTTACCTGTGGCGCAGAAGGGCTCCCCAGCTCCTACTCCCTGAATCCTCCTCCTCCTCCCTCCTCTTTCAATCTCTCTCTCTCTCTCCCCCTCAGTCTCTGCCGGGCGCTCGTGGAACCGGCTGGCCCGACCAGAAAGAGAACAGGTCGGGAGGGGTGGTGGCGGCGGCGATGACCAGCAACCACGTGACCACGCTCACGCCGTAGCGGCGACCGCCTCCTACCGCGCGCCCTCCTCGCGCTCCACCTCTAATAACCCCGGGCTCGCGGGTCCGGGACGCTCCTGCGCAGGCGCCCGCCTGGGCCTGGAGACTGCGCGAACGCGCGACGTGCTCCCTCTCGGGGCCAAGTCTGTGGGGCCCCACGAAGCTCGAGGTGGAGAGTGAGCCGGCCGGCTGAAAGAGCGCATGCGCTGGAGGCTTTTTAAATTTTTTTCGTCCTTCAAGTCCGCTCCACCACCCCACCACCACGAGTGTGCAGCTAGAGCCTGGGGACCCGGAACAGAGACTTAACAACTCACACTCACCACCAGCTTTCCAGGTTGAGAGTGAAAGGAAGGAGAGATGTCAGTCCACCGAACTCTCCCGGCCTAAAAGTTGCATTTCCTTGTTGTATGCAAATTGTCTTCATTAGTTTCAGATAGCTGAGTAGACTTCTATTCCGGCTTCAAGACCCAGCTTATCTGTCACTTCCTCTGTGAAATGTAGCCTCCTCTGTTTGGGGAAAGGGGAGGGTTGTTAGCATTCTGTGCTGACCTACTATAATGTAACGCATACTGAAATAACATGTAACAGTTAATTTTTACAAACCCACAATACTAGGCTGAGGTTTTATCTTTTTCACATAACCTAGGACGGCGTGTCTTTAGCATTTTGGCATGTTAGCACTAAATTCTGATGACTCAGAATACAGGCAATGCCTAAACCCTGTGTCCTGTTGCCCTTCACTTCTGCTTAGTCATGATTTAAGATTTCCTTTAACCCAAGCACGCGTGGAATGCTAGTGTTTGTTTCCCCAATAGGAAAGTCTTTGAATGGCAATGCTAATTAGAGTAGTAAATGCTTCACCTAGTAAAAAAGATTTATGATCTTTTATTTGCCCATCTTCACCAACCGCTCAGAAGGAAATTGACACTATTGAGTCCAGCAAGGGGAAACTAAGAGGGAGAAAGTTCAAATTTCAAAAGGTTAGCTAGCTTCAGAGAGGGTCCCTGTGTGGGAGACCTTTCTTCACAGTCCAGCTGCCCTTCACTTAGGGATTCCCTCTTTTTCTGTTGTCCCTCTTTGATGTAGAACCTGGACAGGTGGAGTTAGTGCTTCTGGCCAGATTTAATCTGGGCAAAGAATTAAAATGTAAAAACTTAGAGCTCTGATTAGAACAGTCATTATTACTGTTAAAGTAGCGAATACAGGCATGTTCAGGAAATAGAACTTCTAACAAAAAAAACTTTGGGATAAATGTTCATCAATAAATAGTACTAACAAGGGCTTCTGAAAAACTAGGAAATTCATGTTGAGAAGGAAAAATTTTCTTTGTACCTTTTTAGGTTCTTTGTGCAGTCTAATAATCAAATTAACATAACACCAATTAACAGGAGAAAAACAAAATTAATTACATGCAGGGTCCCAAAAGAATATGAGACCCAAGGGCAAGTTGGTCAGTTGAGCCTTACACAGTAAGTTCTCACTTAACTTCGTTGATACCTTCTTTGACTTTAGGTGAAACAACATATAACAAAATCAATTTTACCGTAGGCTAATTGATAAAACCAAGTTCCTAGGGCATTTCATCAACATAACAAAACAACACCGAAAGAAATGACATTATTCAAGGACTTGCTGTACCGAGCTAAGAAATAGGATAGGGAACAGGTCTTAAATGAGGGAAAAGGTAATTCACAGGAAAATAAGAGCAGATTTTGGTAATTAAATGTTTGCCCTGCCATACAGATAGGTCATTCAGATAAAAAGATAAATCTGGTAATAGCTCCCTTTCGGGAACACACAGTTTATATAAATTCTTTTAGTAATTTAATGATAGGTAAAATTTTTTCTTGAATCTACTGATCTTTGATTGCCTTCCAATAGTCCACATTGCCAAAGTGGACTATTGAAGTGTGCCCCTTCAGTCACAACCCTCAGAACTCCAATCTCATGTGTCTGCAATATTGACGGAAACTACCATACTCACCAAAGTATACACTTACGGACTGATCCTACCAAGTAGTTTGTTGCTACCTAGTTTATGTTAAGTGGCTTCCTTTCCAAATACCCAATCCAAGGTTCAGACTCCGTGGGAGAATATAATTTCGGTGGCTCCTAATGAACCATGCCTTCCCACTATTCATGCCCTTGTGTAATTCTATCCCCGTGCATCTGGGCTGGACTTGTCACCTACATTAAACAATAGAATGCAGCAAAAATGACTATGCCAGTTTAGACCTAGGCCTTAAAAAGGCTTTGCAGTGACCATGCTGAAATTTACCAGAGCTGTAGTCATGGAAAACAGAAGTGATCAGGAAATCCACCTCCCTACACCCGCCACTCCCCACCCCCCCATCCACCCCACCTGTCTGTGTTCTGGGAAATGCCTTGAAACAAACAAAAAACACCCTTCCCCATATGGCTTAGGTAAGATTCACTATCCACTCTTTCTCATAAGACTGGAAGATGACTCCTTGTTTACCAGTGACAATGCCAAGCACAGACCTTTCTCTTTTTGCCTAAACCTGTTCACAAGCTCAGACGAAAATCCTTTAATTTCCTATTCATCTCATGAATGATTAGCTGAGATTAGAACTGTTAGTCCCCTTGAAACTAGTTAGACTCAGAGATAAGTATTTCCTGACTGACTGAGACTTCCCCTGATTATAAAATAATCCCAGCTCTAGTCATTCCACCTATAACTTACCTACTTCTCCCCATAAAAGCATAAAGCAAACTACCCTGCCAAGGCACTCTAATCTTCATCTTCAAATCTGGGTATTCTCCCTATTTCGGTAGCTGAAATAAAATCTGCTTCTTTGCTTGTCTGGTTTTTGACTTTGACAGTCACTTCTGTTGTTGCCCTTTGGGGGAAGCACCATGTAAGAAACCCAACTGCTCTGACACTACCATGCTGTCAGAATGCTGCAGGGGAGCACTGCAAAGGGCACTCCTGGATCTGAGGGCCACTGTCCGGAGCCAGCTGAGGAGGGAGGGGGGTTCTGCATCCCGCAGAGCCCGTCTTGGGGTTGTCACGGATGGGGGGAATAAACACGAGTCATCGCAAACACTTCTCTGTGTGCCAGGAGAGGGGACATTACTCTTCCCTCTAGTGGAGAAGGCCCCAAGCCCCCATGTCCAAAGGCGGTTATTGAGAACCATATGTGCAGGGGTATACAACAAAGCTAATCAATCAATGTCAAAAGGCTATGTTTACAGAAAACAGACAGAGATCATAGATAACAATTGAAGGAACACAAGAGATCTGCCTCAGGTGAGGGTCTATGAATAATGTAAATCTCCTTCCCAGTATGAGGCGATTATCATAGCTTTTGAGGGAAGAACAAAGCATGCTTCAAGGAACTTACTTCTAGGCCTGATTTCCCCCTGGGAACCGCTTGATCCAGTTTAGGGCTGTATCTGCCTTTAAAACTGTTTCAAGCCTGAGCCAGGTGGGTGGGGCAGAGCGGCCAAGAGATAAGGAGACTTCTCTCAGACAGAATGAGGACCCTGGCCGTGGTCGGAGCTGAGCCAAGTTTTTTGCCCTTTTTGCCCTTTCTCATGTCCCCCAAGTCCTTGTCTGCTGCCCTAAGACATACTGGTCATGTCGTCTTAGGACATCCCTCCTTGTGAGGAATCTTACCCGTCATTGACTAACCAACAGTCACAGGGCCAAGCAGGGTGACGTGGGGAAGGCAGGGGCTGCGCCCCTGCCAGGAGGACAGGTTTTGTCTCCTCGGTGGCCTGTTTTCCCAAGGCCTCCTTGATTATTTCCAGCCTTGGAAACCTCTCGCCTGTGGGCGGGGCTACAGTCCCTGAAAGCAGGTGGGATGGTTCCCAACATGAGAAGTCTAACCTAGCCATCAGGAGAGGCCGAATGGAGGAAAATGGAGGCCCCTGGCTGATTGCCTCAGCTGTGCTCCAGTTAGACACAAGCCATACATGTGAGTGAGGTCATCTTAGAAGTGGATTCTCCAACTCTGGTCAAGTTGCCCCAGATGACACCGCATGGAACATAACCAGTGCTGTTCTCCACCCAGCCAAAATTGCAGAATTGTAGGCAAATGAATTTGTTCTTGTGTTAAGCCCCTGAGTTTGGCATTGACTTGTTAAGTAGCAGTAAATAACCAGAATAGACCTACATATCCAGCTCTCTACTAGATGTGTGTCCCAAATGGTCCCACTGGCACCTCAAACTCAACCTGCTTAAATTGAGTTTTTCAAATTACCCCCAAATCTTTTCCTTTTTTTGTGCCCTTACCTCTACCCTTACCTTTTCCCCTCCCACTCTGAGCCCCAAGCAGATAACCTAAGAGCTTTCCTTGACTCTTCCTTATTCTGCAACATTCAGGCACCAAATAATCAGGTTCCTTCTCAAGCCCGACTAACATCATCTCACCTTCGATCCTTAGTATCCCTCTGCTGAACTACTGAAAATTAGTCATTTTCTTTCACGTTACAAGAAAGAGTCACATATGCACCCAGATTACGTTAGGGGTTTATTGGCAGGCAGAAAATGAGGAGACATGGGAAACCCACCCAGTCATCTCCCATCACCTGCATCCTGGTGGTTTCAAGGCTGGAAGGCCCAGCTACTGAAAGCCAGAGCAATGACCCCGTCCTTTGGGAGACGCAGCTCCTCGCTGGCTTCTCACATCCTTGGTCTCCAAGAAAAGACATGAGAAGTCTGCTAGTCCCCAGGCAGCACAGAGCATATTGACAAGGCTGAGAGTGGCCTGCAATCTAATCTAGGAAAAAGAAACTTAAGTAATAAAGCTGATGATTAATAACTCCGGAAAATATAAACATTGTATGACACTCATTTTGAGTGATGCTACTTATAATACAATTCATATTTTTTAAGCTAAAAAAATTAAATTTGAACCAACATCAGCATTCTTAGAAAAAAAACAATTGAGGCAATTTTGCAGCTATACATGTGGTAGTTGGTTCTCAGCTTTAGCATC